CGTGACAGTTTCGGGCAGAGCAAAGTGTGTGTTGCTTTCCAGTCCGAGTCAAGACACGAATGAGCTGAAGACTGAATCTTCCAATCACTGTTCTGTCCCTTACTACGTAAAAGGTATTCGTCACGTAGCAAAGGCGAATACCTTTGTTACGTAACAAAGGTATTCGTCAAGTGACCTTTATTTAAAGGTCACGTAACGTAGCAAAGGCGAATACCTTTGCTACGTCACGTGACCTTTATTTATGTTTTTATTTAAATTACTTATTCATTTTCCCGGGAGCTGGCACCAAGATGGCGATCTGAGAAGTCGTGTTTTCAAGAGCTCCGATAAATCGCAGAACTACATAGATAAAAGTTCTTGCTTCCACTAGAAAAATATACAGCCAGAAGTTGATTAAACCTGCAAAACTGCATTTTGCACCTCAGAAATCTGAAGCCAAAACGCCATCACAAATCAAAGAAAGTGAACATGACTATGCTAATATGGAAGTTGCTAGCGCAGCGATACACAAGCGCGAACGTGGAGACTCAACCCCGTTAACTCCATCAAAACAACATCATGAGAAAAGGACCAGGCCAACGGAGGCGGATGAAGGTATCTCTAATAAAACAATATTTGAAGACATCTTGGGGCTGGAGAAGAAGTTTGATGCACAACTCGAGGACATTAAAGAGCAAAATAGACAGACTACTGTTATGATTGCCAGCTTGTCAAAAGCTGTACAATACAATGCTGAAGAAACGGCAGACTGCAAAAAGAGAGTTATCAGGCTGGAGAAGGCAAACGATCAACTGCTCAAAGAAAACTGCGACCTGAAAGAAAGAGTGAAAGAACAAGAGAGATACAGAATGAGGTGGTGTCTGCGGCTGAAAGGTGTAAAGGAAAATAAGGACGAGGACATTAGAGGGATTGTTCTTCAAATACTCCAAAAGATTGCACCTGACCAAAAGATGGATGAGGCGGTTGATATTGTCCACAGACTTGGAAAACGAGTTGAGGGAAAGAATAGGAATGTTATCATTCTGTTCACGCAAAGACGAGTTAAGGAAGACATCTGGAAACGCAGCAAAGGTTCTACAGTCTGTAAGCAAGAAGGTATCAGTTTTGCTGAGATGCTGCCACAAGAAGACGTGGAAGACCGACGGCGGCTTTGGCCATTGATTGAGGAAGCAAGACGAGCAGGGAAAATAACCTATTTTTGATTGAGGAAGCAAGACGAGCAGGGAAAAGAACCTATTTTCGAGGTCCCCACAGATTCATCGATGGACGCAGGATTGAAGATAAAAAAGTGAAAAGCTGAGACAGTGGAAAATGGATACGCGATTGAGGAGTTCAACTTTATTGGTATATATATATATATATATATATATATATATATATATATATATTTATTTATTTATTTATTTATACACACACATATAATTATTATTATTATTATTATTATTATCTCTTCTTCTACGGGGTGAGTGAATTCCAATACTTGTTCATAATTCATGTTGAATGTTAATATTTCATTTGGTTCCTTAAATGTTCGGGGCTTGAAAGAAACTGTAAAAAGGAAAGCTTTATTTTTGTATTGCAAAAGACAAAATTCTAACTGTGTGTTTTTACAAGAAACTCATTCTTCAGACAGCGATACGGCTTTTTGGTTAAACCAATGGGGCGACAAGATCCTGTTTAGCCACGGCTCCTCGAGATCGGGAGGTGTGGCTATTTGCTTCAACAACTTTCCAGGAGAAATTCTAACACACCAGACGGACACGAATGGACATTGGCTTTCGGTAGTAACAAATGTTGATGGTCTGTGTTTCATTCTAACTAATATTTATGGATACAACAATGATAGTCAGAACAAATCCATGTTGGAGAACATCACAAATAATATTTCAGAATTAAAAAGTCGATTTCCTACTGATTATATCTTATGTGGCGGGGATTGGAATATGACACCTGATGAGTGGCATGACAGATGGCCCTCGAGAGCTGGTAGACCCCAGTATAATGATATCATGAATAACTTTATGACAGATAATAACTTGTCTGATATTTGGAGAACTAGAAATCCAGGGGTTCAGTGCTTTTCATGGTTCAAACCAAATAGGACATGCAAATCTAGAATTGATTATTGGTTAGGTAGTGTCAGTATTCTCTGTCAAACTTCAAGAGTTCTCATATCTAATGCTCCTCTTTCAGATCATTGCTTTATAGAATTACATCTACAACCCGTATGCAGGAAAACAAACAAAAGAAGTCATTGGAAGTTTAATGCCAAACTTTTACAACATGATGACTATTGCAATATAGTTAGAAGAATAATTAAAGATGTCATGAGAAATGTTTCTATTATAGGAAATATTAATAAATGGGAATTTATAAAATTCAAAATTAGAGAATTTAGTATTCAGTTCAGTAAAGATTAAATTAAAAAACAAAAAGAGTATGAATGTAAATTAATATATGAAATCAGTAAATGTTGCAGTAATAACAATCTGACTACTCAAGAAAAAAATAGAGTCATGGAACTGCAAACAAAATTAGATCAACTTTATATAAACAGAGCACAAGGAGCTCTTGTAAGATCCCGTGCAAAGTGGATTGAGAAAGGGGAAAAAAACTCCTCTTATTTCTTCAATTTAGAGAAGAGTAGACAAAAAAGAAATTATATATCTAGCTTGTTAATTGATGAAAAGGAATGCAAAGACCCTGTAGTGTTAGAGAATGAAGTACATAGGTTTTATTCTAAGCTGTATTCCTCTCAGTTTTCCCAAATAGAATGTGATGCTTTTTTTGATAAAATCAATCATCTGATTCCTCAGATTGAGAACACTTTTAAAGAATCTTGTGAAGCGAACTTGAAAATTGAGGAAATAGATGCAGCGATTAAAAAAATGACATCAAATAAGTCACCAGGATCAGATGGACTCACTGTAAATTTTTACAAGTTCTTTTGGGAAGAGGAGAGAGAAATTTTATTCAACGCATTATTAGACTTACAGTGGGAAGACGACCTCCCTGTCAATGTCCATTTCTGTAACTCACTCTCAACTCACAAACTTCAACTATAAATACAGAAATGCTTCTTCTTTCCCAGAAGCGAGATGAAGTTTTGTAGATTTCGTGAAAGTTTCGGGCAGAGCAAAGTGTGTGTTGCTTTCCAGTCCGAGTCAAGACACGATTGAGCTGAAGACTGAATCTTCCAGGCTTTAAAACCACAGCGACTACGGCACGTTCTGTGTGCGGGTCAGTGTTGTGGTGCCAGGTGTAGTTATTGCAGGAGTTATAGAAGATGGGTAATGCTGGCTGTATTTGTGGAGAATCAATTGATGGATTTGAGTCACTCTAAAACGTGTGTAAGCCTTTGCACTGAATAAGAAGAAAACACTTTTACAGTGATTTCTAAATAAAAACAAACGATTTCCTTTGGAATAGTCACACATTTTATTATATATTTCATTACCACACATCAGACTTGTCCCACCACAACATGATATACCAGTATACCACCAAGAGCAAACTACAGACGGATTCAAGAACACCAAATGTTTGTATCAAAAACCTGTGCAGCATCTTACAAGTCATTCTAAATTCAGGGTTCCCGCAGTCATGGAAATCCGGGCCAAGTACGTGCTCTTTGTTTTGATAAATAACTTTATGCTACTGCGCAGTTAACTGGATGGAGGAGGAGGACTATGGAGAACTTTACACGGACTCGTTTGCCCGCATCTTTACGCAAATGACATCACAGTGTTCATCAACTGCTCTTTTACCAGGGCCGACGAGTAGAAGGATTTTGGTGGAGTTTTGGTTCATGTTATCAGTTTGGTTTCAACTTTACGCATTTGGCTACATCTTTATGCAGACGCACGCTCCACATTGGACATTACCACACTTAATTAGAAATTACACTTTTACCAGGACCAGGAGTTTGGTTCATGTTGTCTGTTTGGCTTCAGTTTTACACAGACATTACAAACTGAATAGATGTGGATTTATTATTACACAATTTGACTTTGAAGCACTATAATGGACTGGATGTGTTTTCAGGTGGATCTAAGTTTCATGCTGCACGCTGTTTCTACATCTCTTCTGTTTTACTGGAAAGATGACACACTGCGCTTTGTTCGGACACATGTATAACTGTGCTAAAACGTGAGTGCTGTTTGTGCCTTTGAGTTTGTTTAGGGCGCAATCGTGACATGTGTGCACCTATGCTGCTGTGAAATCGATGCTGTGTATTTATTGGCTCACAGACGCTTGCATTTAAAGCCAAGGAACCGAAAACTGGCATAGAAGGAATGATAGTTTTTCAGTACCAGTACTTACTTGACCTTTTTGGTCAGTTCTTTGGAACCGAATTTCGTACCCAGCCCCAGGGGGAGGCCAGGTGAGGGCTGCACTCTGCAGTGGGGAGTGAATGTGTGTGAGGGCATCTGGACGGCGCACAAAAACACACCGTCTGTGCCTCTGTACCTGTCCATTCATTATGCTCACGAGGTAGTTTGAGTTTTGCTGATTTTTGTGTTGCCAGCCAATTTCGCCCAGAGAAGCACATTGAGCAGGTAAACAGGCTGTCAGTGACTTTTTTTTTTTTTTTTAACTTATCACCCCCAAATGTCCAATACTTACGATTGAGGGATTATTTTCAGCATCTCCCTTGCACTGTAGACAAGGCCATGTGAGCAGAAGCACACGTACTAGCAACTGTGAGTTGTTTTCGTTCTTAAGTATCTTATGTGCCTGTATACACACATAAACAGATCCACATGGACTCATAGCCTTACAGCTGCTGAAAGTTGAGTTTGGGATGTAAGGTGCGCAAATCTGCTTTGTTTGTCAGTGCGGCCCCATACCGTGGGCTGCACTGACAAAAATATAAAGCAAAATATCATTCAGCGCGCCTCAGTTGGCCCCTGGGCCACGAGTTTGAGACCCCTGCTGTAGAACATTCCAGGTGAAGAAATAATCTCCCTGGAGACAAACTACTCGCCAGCAGCCACAAAAACTGACATTATTTTTTATTATTTTTATTATTTTTTTTAAATTGGTGCAGTAATTACATCAAGGCCTTTTTAGTCCAACTCAACACAACATCACAAAGCTCCAACTGTCTCTTTTAATTTCATTTTCATTTCTGCTGCTGTTGTGTTCTTGGCCTGCAGATGGCGCTGTGTCTTCAGATTTGGGGCATTTTGATCACACTGTACACTGTATGGGTTTGGTCAGGCTGGTCTCTTGGTTCCTCTGATGATGGTCGTGGCTCCAACACACAGTAAACAGTTTGTGGTTTGACGTTTTCCGTCTCTTGGTCCGATGTTTCGTTTGAGTTTTCTGAATCCATGTTTTCGTAGGAGTTGGCTTGAGTTGAAGATGTTGACGTTCTTGGCTGAGAAGGCTGCTCAAATGGTTGACTTTGTATCACCCGCGGCTGTAAGAATAATGTTTTAGTAGGAAGTAAACAAGTAAAAAAAAATATATATATATATATATATATATATATATATATATATATATATATATATATATATATATATATATATATATGATAACTATTAAAGATACACTATGTAACTTTTCTGGTGGATCTTGGAGATGTTTTGCCTGGATTGTGTCAATATATGACATTAAACTTGTATTCAGTTGTGTTTTTATTTAAAAAAAAAAAAAAAAAAAAACAATTCAAAAACAGGGACATCTCTTACAGATCTGATGCTATCATTTGCTTGTCTCCTTGGAGTTAGATATGTTTAATGCCATACTGTGGAACATTTCAGGCAAAGCAGTAACATCTCCATGGAGACAACAAGCAAGCAGTGAACATCCACCAAAAAAGTTTCACGGTGCACCTTTAAATTGTTTGTTTTTGGTAGGTTTCCTCTTACCTGTTTTTTACGTCTTGCTACAATAAACATGGCTCCAAAACAAAACAATATGAATAGGCCTCCAGCAGTGACTGAACAAATTACAATCAGTATCCAATTAACATCCTTGGACACAGACCAAGTAGGGGTCTCTTCGCGTCTAGGACTGAAACCTGAAGAGAAACACACATAAAATTAGCTTCCAATTTGACATTATTTTACATTTTATTTTTATTTTTGCTCCAATTAACTTTTTTTTTTTTTTGTGTGTGTGATTTATAAGCAATTAAACTCCACGTACAAGGATTGGTGATTATATTATTTTTAGTACATTATTATATTATTATTATATATATAAACAAGTCAAAGTCTCTGTCCTGCATGTTTATATTAATAATAAAAAAGCAGCTATTAAGTGCTTACACATAACATATTTAGATCACCACGTAACCTTTTTTTTGTCTTGAAAATGCTATCATCGAAAACAATGTATTAACACGTTCTAGTTTCGATTCCTTTTTTCTCCTGGCATCACTCCTTCACGTTATGTTCAGTGTGCATCTCGTTAATGAAACTACTGCACATCGCTTCAAGTTTGTGAAGATTTACTGTGCTGTTTTGTGTCCTGCTTTTGTATGTTTATGGAGAATTGTCATGTGGGAGCGTGGGTGAGGCTTTCACTAGATTACTCAAACATGCATGGATGACATCTAAATCCTCCTCAGGTATGTTTTTGACGAGGAAACAATGTTATAGAAAGCTCCACAAAGTCCATTTTACATAACACCCCATTTAAACTCAGCATCAGTGAGCTAGAAGACTCTTAAAGGCACAACTGTGAAGCAATTTTAAATAAATGTGTTTAAAAGCATGTTTACACATGTTTAAAAGCTCAAAAATGTAGCTCTGGATAAAGCTTATAATTGGAGAATAGGGTCAACAACCAACCTGCAAACAATAACTTATATTGGTACAAAACATAGAATCTTAAAGGTGCACTATGTCCCTTTTCTGGTGAAAGTTCTGTCACCTGTCTTCATGGACATGTTAATGTTTTATCTAAGGTGACCAGATGTACCTGTTTACCCGAGACAGTCCCAGTTTTGAGCCCTGTGTCCCCTGTTCCAGCAGATCTATACAATTTGTCCCAGGTTTATCAAGAAATGTCCCAGGTTTCCCTATTTTTAATAAATTTGTTCTAAACTAGATCTAAACCAGGACTAAAACAGGACTATCACAATTTTTGACTAAGCTGATCCCCACCAATGGTAAAAAGAAGCATAAATTGTCTTTTTTTTTTTTTTTTGCCAAAAATACAAAAGAACGTGTTTGCAAATTACAGTAAAGTGTCAGATTATGACACGAGAATGCACAATGTTACACACTCTTTCACAATTTTATTAATACCAACCATCCCAACCTCTGGTCACCCTAGTTTTACTTGGAATGTTTCACAGAATCACATTAAACTTTCTCTCCATGGAAGTGAGCAGATGACACCACCAGGCCAAGTTACTGGTCAAATCTGTGGAGAGCTGACCCCACTGACAGTATTTGTTTTTCAAGATAACTCTTTAGCAACAAAAACACCTGCAAATGAACAAATGCAGGATATATACTGTATGTCTAATGCCATTCTGTGGAACATTAAAGACAACGCAAAGTTACATAGTGCACCTTTAATTGTAAAACCTTTTGGAATCTTACTTACAAAATCCGTCTATCTCTCGTGAATCCTCTTTTGAGCTGACGTGATTGTTGCTGGTGCAGGTGAGACTTCTGTTGTGACTGGAGATGGTGATGTTGATTTCAGGGAAGGATTTGTTGACAGATCGACAGGATTCTTTGTCACACTCGGACTTAAGCCAGAGGAGCTCATCTTGGTATTGGACAGAACAGTTCACAGCGAAGATGCAAACATCCGTGGATGCATTGGCCTTCTCCACAATGACACTCAAAGCAGGTTTAGGAACTGCAGCTGTGGCAAAAGATCAACATGATATCAGTGGTTCTCACATACGACTGCAAGATTAGTCGCAATCGAATGGAGAACGCAGTTTGCATATACTGTTCGTGTGTATTGTGATTAATGCCTTCATTTTGGTGGCTGTCATATTCTAGAAATTAACATAAATACATTTCACTTACCTTGAATTATAAGTCGGTTTGTTTTCTCTAAGCTGGTAAAGTTTCGGTCATGGGAAAATACATAATTTCCAGTGTCTTTCTCAATCAAATTGTTAATGCATAATGTGGAATTGGGTTTGTAATCCATTTTCTTTTCAAAACCAGGATTCATTTTATCGTTTGAAACAATAATTTTCTTTCCTAGAGTCCATTTTGCAGATTCAAATGGTGGCTGATCTCCTGGGTCTAGACACACCGACTGTCCTTCCATACGATACAGTGTCACTGTTGCGTCCTCTGCGCTTATCTCTGTAAAAAGCAAGAGTTAAAGGTGTACTACGCAGCTTTTCTGGTGGAGGGTCTGTCATCAGTCTGTTTCCACGAAGATGTTTTTTTGTTCTTTGTTTTAATTCAACCTTTATTTAACCATGAAGATTGAGATCGAAATGTCTTTTTCAAGGACAGGAGCATTTATAAAGGAACAATTAATAGGACAAACGGACAAAATGTTTTAAAGTGCAATCATTTGTAAACCGTTGCAACATAAAGTGCAATATTATGATTGCATATTTACATCAACAATTTAAAAACACAAGTACTGACTGATGGAATCATAAAAAAAGAACAAAAGTGATGTTAAAAAGGAACAAGACTGAACCATTTAGTTTCAGAAAATTGTTTTAAGTCGAGGGAGCAGAGAAGAAGAAAATAGCGTATCTGTGCTAGTTAATAGGATAGTTACTGTTTTGTATCGCATTAAAAAGAGACATGGAGACAATCAGCTGACACCAAAAGCCCGTGTTACATGTCAGATCTGTGAAGAGTGGAGTCCTTTCACAGTAAGACACAATTTCGTAATTTTGATAATTTAAAAAAACTGTAATTGAATATATGCAAGATAGTTTAATTAAATGCCATATTGTGAAATATTTCAAGGCAAAGTAGCAACATCTCCAGCAAGACAAGCACACGACACACCCTCCAACATAAATCCTACACAGCACATCTCAAAAAACATCATAAAGAACTATAATTACTGTGAGATTTTACATGTAAACTAATGAAATAGAATGCACTGAAGTCTCTTACTCATAAAGAAGAGCTGACACAGTAGAAGTAGCATTGCACTGCCAGTGTTGTTGTGGCTTTTGTTTCAACTCCAAAGTAGATAGTGGGTTCAGGTGTCTGGGGGTGATAAGTGAAAGAAACAGATGCTACGGAAATGTGCAGTTCAGCATGATTTCCTGTACATATGGCGGAAGAGGTGCCAGACATCAAAGTAACTAAAATTCAAAATATACAATGTAGTACTTTTGTCATATTTACATCAGTAACTTTTAAATCAAGTCTTGAGTAATTTCTCGGACTTTATTTTGACATAACTGTGCTTTTATTGAGTATAAATTCTGCCTCCTTTACCCACCTGTGTGTAAATGTACAAATCCTGGCTTCAGTGACGGCCTTTTTCACATCTGTCAGTGGGACTACTACTACTAAAACTAAAAATTAAAGTGTTATTTATTTACTTAAACTTTATTTGCTTTATTTACTAAATGGCAGAGGTGGGGACTTTCAAGCCGTGACTTGAACTTGAGTCAGACTTGAGTCACTACTTTTAAGACTTGAGACTTAACTTGATAAAATGGGCTAAGACTTGGGACTCGACTTGGACTTAAAGGTCAGTGACTTAAGACTTGACTTGGAGTTGAAGGTCAGTGACTTGGGACTTGACTTGGACTTGAAGTTTTTCCTAAAAAAATATGTTTTTAGAAAATACTTTTCGCTTTACAGTTGATAAATACGGTGGTCAATTTTACAGAAACAAACTGGAACATGTCGCTCCCACTTCTGTTTGGTACTTTGGATAGTACTGTGATATCCTCAAAAGTACTACAGTAATATATAGTACAATACAGTAAAACAGAGAGATGTACGGAGAACATGATCCTTCCATTTCAGTGCAGATGATATGACAAAATAATTATTAAGCACTTTTAAATCTTAATTCTTTCTGTTCTGACCCTAAAGATTCACACTAAGATCTTGTCAAGACGTGTCTACAACTCTTATATAAATACTCATATATAAATATACCATGACTTTTTAAGTACAATTTAGTTTAAAATTCATATAAATTGCAAAAATCCAAGCTATCTTTTGTATTTTTTTTTTAAATGATTTGAAGCTCAAAGCAATGACTTGGTCCCACCTCTGCTAAATGGTACATGATAAGTTTTTCTTTCTTTTCTGACTTGGACAAGAAACTATTGTGGTGGAAATTTTAGTATAAATGTAATAAACCAACATAGACAGTGTTCTTGTAATGTTTTGATATTTTCTAGATAATTTCCACGACACCATTCACTCTAACATGATCGATTATAGATTATAGAAATAAAGCAAAGGTGTCTCATCTTGCCCAAAGACACGACAGCAGACTTCACGGGGGAGAGCAGGTATCAGACGTGTAACTTTCAGGTTAGTTTATGTGAAATGCACTGGATACGATTTGACAAACAATGACTTACTTTGTCTTGACACTTTAGCTACACTTTCTCAGCGGTGAGTAAATTTCCCGCTCTCTCAACTTCAAATGCAAACACAGGAAAAAACAGGCACACATGAAGTCAACCCACAACCTGCTCTGACTCTGACTCACAAGAAATGATTCCATACAAAAATCATTTTATTTTAACAATTTATTTCTGATTTCTTCTCTATTTCCAGTGAATAAGGACCAAAATAATAATTATATTCAAGTTGCTGTGTTGTTATTATGCAAAAAAGTACATAGGCACTTTGATATTCACCTACATAAAAGGTGTAGCGATGTATTAAATATTAAAACTGACCTTATTTTACATAATGTACAGAGGAATGAGTATGCTTAAATGCATACAGTAAGCACAATATAACCAAAATAAAATCACTTCTTACAGTGCAATTATTAAAAAAGTTAGTACAGTGTTTTCATCAAAAAGTCGACAAGTACAAAGTTAAAGTGCTTAGTATTGTTATTTGACTAACATTCATGATCATTTCTAGTGCAATGTTAGAAAATGTTACTGAGAACATAATACAATAATAGAGTATCATGTTGTTTTGAAATCCCTTGTTAAAAAAATAAAACAAAAAAACATTGTACATTGGTAGGTAGTTCAAAAAGTGTCCAAACATAGAAAGTTGTCAGTCATGCCCATAAAATACTTGAAATGCCCAGTTTTAATCAAAAGTTGTGTGACATTTTCTTCATAAACTCATGAAATTTAGCTTAGTTTCTGTTGTTGGAGCTGCCATGTGTTTAAATACCTATAAGTGGTTTCCCTTTTTCTCCATCTGACTAATATTTCTTAACACATTTTGACAATCTCCCATATAAAACCCTTACCTGTCAGTCCTCTCAGTTACACACAGACAAACAAAATGTACATTTCTCGGAGTTTATTGCTTCGTTCACTGATTCTGCAGAAATCTGTGATATTTCTTGTCTCTTGTGATCCTTTTTCCCCCCTTATTTTTTCCTCACAAGCAGCCATATTTCTTTCAATCATGCCCATGATTCACCAACAGGCTCTATTCACGTTACGTCACGAACCAGAAGACGTTTGGAAACATGCAATCACAACTTCAGGTGAAGTTACCCACACTGGGCTCACCAACCGACTGTAATAAAACCCACTGGAGTAAATGTGATCAGCGGTAAAATAAAGACTGTATACGTATGTGCTGTTTGGAAGCGCCCTCATCTTTTCTAATCGCGTGTACCCAGTGTGCTCGGAGTTGTCTGTCAATGGGGAAATTATGAAAACTGAGGTATGGTTGTAATTGTTGATTAGGTGAACACAGTCATGTGGAGATGAAGAAAACTGGGACATTTTCTAATTTTTCCTATATTTTGTCAGACTTACTACCGCAAACTAGCCTGATTCATCTGCTGGATTCACTTCGTGGAAACTGTCTGACCTCGCAGCGTTAGAATTTGTTTGCTCGATGGTAGGAGGGTACTTTTTTAACCAATCCCTGCTATTTGGTATTGATGTATATAATGCACCACTAACGCAGCTAAATGGTATATTAAGCTTTTCCCAAATCCAGTAGGTTGAAGGGCAATAACATCTTTCCCCTTGATAAAATTCACCAAACATTCTCTTTGTTCCGGCTTTAAATCCTAGATCTCGGGAATCTCTTTGCCAACACAGAATGTATGGCTCTTCGTAGATTGGCTGGTGCCCAAAATTGCACTTCCGGGGTTTTTGCGAAACAATTAGTGTATTTTGATTCCTGACCTAGTCGCTGCAGAGAAATGAAATTGAGCAGCCAGTCTGGCTAACGGCAAACAAAGCCCACCGGAAGTTGTAATCGCATGTTTCCAAACGTCTTCCTGGTTTGTGACATGTCCAAACTCACATCTTCGTAACGTATTGAAGAAGTGTGTATTCTGAGTCCCAGGCAAATAAAATACTTAAAATACATTTTTCTTTTTTTGTTTGGGTGTTTTTGGTGATGCCTCTTGTCTAATTGAAAGTGCTCTGTGTAACTTTTCAGCCAACACTATTCCATGGTATAGCATTAAACTTATCTCTTCCACATTTATTCAGTTACAGGTGTTTTTATTGCTCAAAATACCTTGAAAAATCCCACGCGTTCCTGTGAGTGGGGTCATCTATCCATATCTTCCTTATCCAGATGAGTTTAATGCTATATTTTGGAACATTTAAGGCTAGGCATTATCATCTCCATGGAGAAAACAAAGTCATTGGTGTATCCTCCATAAGAAAAGTTACATAGCTCTTCTTGAATATGTTTTGAATCGTTTGTACACCACTTTTAATGAATTTGAGTCTTGATAGCTGGCCCATAGGCAATAATTAAACAGGCCTTTAACAAACTTTTACAATTTCTATAAAATCAGTTCTAAACAAACCTGGATGATGAATAGTTTAAACATGGGTTGAATTTTGATGTCCACCTATCTCACTATCCCCTATCCTCATCTTTATCTACATTCACCTTAATGTTTTAGCCACAGATAAAATGAAAATTAGTCAAACTTTTAGCCTTGTATTACATTGTGTTAAAATGTAAACAGTGTGTCTGTGTCCAGTCCTGCTGTGTCACCTATAAAGTTTGTTCATTGTGGCCTCTTATATTATTTACATTGACGTTTACAGTAAGATTTGCAAAATGGCATTCGTGTCTCTTACGCAAAGTGGTTTTGGTCCAGTTTAGAAACTTTTCAAAATAATTTCAGCAGCTGTCCCTACCATTTTCAGTTTTGTTGCGAGCTTTTCTGCTATCCTTCTTCAAACATTACTGATTCGAACGCTGAGCGGGCTACTGTCTCGAATGCGTCCTCTCTCCTTCCCTTTCTCTTCCCCGCGGTATTTTTCCTCCAAGCGCATTTTCTCCGGATCTGCTCCTCCATCTTTGCTGCCTCGGGTCTGGGATTTGGGACTTGGCGGGAGAGCTTGTTTGAAAAAAGGAGGAGGGCTTTTGGTTTTGGCCACTTTGTCGAAGAAGGCGAAATCAGCCACGTATTTTCCAGTGGGGGAGAGGGAGACCACAGGAGGGAACTCGTAGCCCCACAGGATCTCGTCTGGGAGGTAGGACGTGCGGACCTGGCAGGTGGCAGAGGTGGGCTCGATGGTGGCACTCAAAATCACCAGCAGCTCAAAGTCAGCGAGCTCAGGGTCAGTCCAACCTCCACCTGGAAGAAGACGAGGAGAAATGCAGACAACAGTATTTTAATGGGACTAAAGGCTTGGCAAACTGAAGTTTGATTCCTGCTCTGACTAGTACATAGTGTTAATGTGTCCTTGGGCAAGACACTTCTACCACTATGAAAGAAATAAAAAGAAGCTGAAAACTACAAGGCCTATAATTTAATTTAAAATGTATGTTGTTTTTAAAAAAAACAAAACTGCTTTGTTACTGTAAGTTAATATATAGGGATGTAATGATATCCAAATATCAAGGTTCGATATTATCACGATATGCATCTCACGGTACGATATTTAATGCAATATTTGAAGAGGCTAATATAATTGTAGATAGAACACTTTTTTGCTTTTAAAATACCTTGACAAGATTTTGGTGTGATTTCCATCACAATCCCAAGAATTCAAGTAAAAAACATATCTCTTCATGTTGTCTGCACTGAAATGAATCATGGGATATGTAGTTTCCTATGTTTATAAACTGCTGCTACTGTAAAACCAGGCATTTAATCAAAGGAACTTGTGATTTAATATTATTGTGAGACTTTTGACGATACAGTATCACAGTATTTCAGTTATTGCTACTTCCCTGTTATTATGTCATATGTTGTAGAAGCGTAAGTTTTAAATGGACAATAGTTGCTCCTCTGCCATGTTACAGTCTTGTCAGTCAAATTTTTGTATGTTTCTTGAGAAAATTTATGGAAAAGCATGTGGCTCCAGGTAAAGGTATTTTTTGCCAATAAAATTGCCTGAGGCTGAAAAAAGGGGGAAAAAAGTGTACAAAAGTATAAAATTATATTATGGAATATTTTCATATGATAGGGAGGTAATAACCTTGTTTATTCTGGTTATATTTGTGAATTTACAAACTCATGGAAACTGTAATGATTGGGCCTAGGCTCCAGTGGTTCAGATCAATCACAGGGCAGCATTGGGGTTTGGGCGGAGTCAAAGGAAAGCACCCAAACAAACCCAAACAAATATAGCAATGCAGATGGACATTCTTCAGTCTATTTTAGTGAAAATACTCACTAATTTGTTTTTGAAAAAACATGCAGAGGAAAGTCCTTTGTGCAGTTGTGGCTGGAAACGAAATTTAATTCTGTCAACTGGATAAAATCAGCTTGAGGAATTGAAAGACATCCCAATCACTTTCGGCAAGAGCCATCCCAGATTTATAATGTCAGGTCAGATCATTACACAGATCAATCTGACCTTAGCCACTTTAGGTGATGAAACTCATACAGTGCACCTTTAAGATACATTGATATGGTAATTCTGAATAAGCCTGAAGTTCACAAACATTTGGACAAGTACAAAACCCATGTTCCAAAACAACCCTCACCATCTTCAGGCTCAAACTACCAATGAAACCTCAGGCTGAAGAAGAGCAGAGTCTGAGCACATGTCCTTGACCTGTGGGACATGTGGACTGTCCCTCAGCTCATGTCATAGACAGAGGACACACCGGAGACATGTCCACTCAAACAAACCCACACCTGGATCAACAGTCCATCATTCAGACCCTCATCTGTCCAAACAGCCCCAGTCCAACACAGAGCTGCTACCTCCGCCAAGGCAAAACACGCTTTCGCAACCGGCACTGCACTTCCATACTACGGCCACGCTATGGGCTGTAAACGGACTCACTATTCCTGTATGGTACACTGTAGCAGATGTTGTTCATGTAATCTTACTTACTAGACTTTCCGGGGCAGATAAACCAATTTTGCTGCCTTACAACATTATTTTTAAGCAATTAGTCATTTTTAAGTAATGAAAACATTTAGTCAAAGCTTTCTAAAGTGTGTATAAAAAGGATTAACATATCTGAATATGAACGCAATATGAATTTTAATGGGTACTGAACAAACCATCAGGATCACTTTTATTTATGTATTTATTTATTTATTTTTTACTAACAAATGATTCAGTTTGATTTAATTTTACAGTTATATTAGTTATTAGTTAGATCTAATGATGATTAGTGTGGTTAGAACTCTCACCCCTCAGCACGTATAATGGCAAATAAAGAACTTACTTACTTAGAACTTACTTAAAAAACAATTGTATGAAGTCAACATTGTACTTTCTGTTCTTCTGCCCTCATCTCTCAGCTTAAGAAAACAAGTGTAAACAGCATGAAGCCAGGTGAGGCACATCATCTTTTTCATAATCAACCACTAAACCATAGCTGGCTTAAAGTCTTTTTTTTTGTTGAAGGTACTTTCAGCATCATCTCCTGTCTCTGTTCACTGATTTCAGACTATACACCCATATAGTCTTACCACAGTGTTCTAACTTAAGTAGTTGATGTTTCGTAGAAATGCACTAAGCAGAAGATCCACAGTGACACATGTCGATGCATACGAGTGGTTCAATGCAAAGAAGCTGCTGAGAAAGTTAAAGAGGAAGTACAGTTATAAAGGAGATGCTACTAGTTGTGCTGTGCTCAAGTGTGAAGAGTCAGTTTGTAGTCAGACATATTGGATCCACATGAAGTATCTATTCAATGGGTGTTGAATGTCTCCATTTTGTGAATTTTGTCAAGGAACCAAGACCACACAAGCAAGGTCTAATGATGTAATATGCTAAACAATACACTGTTGTAAGATCATTTGTAATTATTTTTTCTTATCCCACTACATGTAGAGTTACTTATATTACATGAATTATGTATCTATGACATGTAGATGTAGTGAAAACTGTGTATACTGGTCTGTAACTTAAAACTTAAACTTAAAACCAGGACAAATAGCCTGATTCATCATCCGGTTTCACTTCGTGGAAACCGTCTGACCTCACAGCATTAGGATTCGTTTGCTCAACAGTAGGCGGGTACTTTTTTAATTTAACGAATCGCTGCTATTTGCCAATGCGCCAAATCCTGTAGGAAGAAAGGCAATAACATCTTTCCCCTTGATAAAATTCCCCAAATATTTTCTTTGTTCCGGCTTTACATCCTCAACCTCAGGAATCGTTGCCAACACAGGATGTATGGCTTCGTCTACATCTGGACCGCTTTGTTTACTGTTGTGCTGAACCACAAAAGGGATGCAGACAGGTGCTCGAGTTTGACGTCATGGCTTCACAGCTCTTCACGGTTTGGCCAGTGCGCGGTCTACAACTTCTTGGAAACATCTAGTGTATTCTGATTTCTGACCTATTCGCTAGAGAGAAATGAAATTGAGCAGGTGCACTAGGTGGCGCCAGCCTGACTAGGACAAACCCACTGTGACCGAACACTATGAGCACTAACTTCCACTTAAATGAATTATTTATTTGTATTATTAATTATTAAACGGAATTATTTATTTATTATATCCCCCATATGGGAATTTAGTGATATGTCAAAATTACACAGTATAAACTCAGATAGGGTGTAGGTGAAAGCAGATATTTCTAGGAATTACTCAAACAATCATAAACCAATCCAAAAACATAAGTAACAACATTATATAACAACTTAATAAACCAAACATAAATGATGAAGGAAAACATTATAAGATAACAAAAAGTTCATAGAAGTTGATCTTGTATAAAAATATGTCTCCTTTAACTATACTCTAAATGTAATCATCTGAGGGTATGAATTCTCTATGTTTTCCTGGTCGCTGTGTTCAGTTGTAAGTGGATCTGCCCAGTGTCCTGTCCCAGGACTGTGCTGCATTGTGTTATAATGAGGACTGTCTCTCTGTCTCTTTGTCTCCCTCTCCTCTCTCTCTCTCTCTCTCTTTCTCTCTCTCCCTCTCTGTCTCTCTCTCTCCTCTTTTTTTCCCCTCTCTCTCTCTGTCAATTACATTCCTCCCTCTGCCCCAGTGCCTGCCCTGCTCCACACAGCCAAGGGGCACATGACTGGAAACGCCAACACCTACAGATCATACATACCCAAACTTAACAAGTCAAATGCCCCAAATATGTTTACTTCAGTTTTACTCAGAAATAGCATGTTTTTATTAAAGGGGGCATAGTAGGTCAAATCAACTTTTATCAGCTTCTAACTATGTTTTTTTAACCAAATTTTCTTACTCAAAGTTCTATTTTCAGTGATTGATTCATTTCTGAGTAATCCTGTATAATCCTGCATTTGATTCTTGGGTGCTCAGAAATTTTCTATTTTCACCTACCCCCTATCTCCACCCACTTGATATTTGGTTATCATTCTAAAGCAGTGTTGTCTTGTCACAGAAGCATGTTTTCCTATAATACAATACATTGCAGTTTTCAATAGAAATAATAATAATTTCTTATATCATGTGGCCTTCACCTCCAAATCCAGACCAGTAAAACTATTGAGGAAATGTTCAGCTTTATTATATTTATGTAAATGTTTTGGTGCCATCTAGATTTTATTGTATTAATTAGTATGTATTTTCTATAATAACACTAATCCAGCACGCCTGTAAGAAGAAGAGGGGGATGTACAGTGGAGTTTTTAAGGCTACCCTTCTCACCCAGAGGAGCGTAATCCCATCTCCTTTCTGCCCTCTGCCCCATGTCTTCTTAACGGTATTACAATAACCCTGAAACTCCAGTGTACCTTTAGCGGCCCAGGCTCTCAGCGGGCTCTGGTGGTCGATGATGTGGTAGAAGGTGAGGGGGATGATGAGGAAGGGGCTGTCACTGGAGGTGTCCACGCTGAAGGGCACGTTCCTCTGGTCCAAACGCACAGTCTCGCCCTCTTTGGTCACGGAGGTGCGCAGCAGCTTCCCCGTCACCTGCACACATGGACACAATGCACTACAAGGGTCTGTCAGAATAGCAATAAGCAAGAGTTTTCTACTAGTGAGCATGGTTAGGGTTAGTATTAGGTGAGACTGGAAAATGTTCAAATGTAGAAACAACTTCTACTACTTTATCCTCCTAGGACCCAAACTCTTGCAAGGATTTATTGATTTCTCTTTGTTATTTGGGCTGACTGGGACCTGATGAGTGCAAAAACAAGAATTATATTTTTATAATATTTTTATATTTATATGCCCACATATGATATACTGTATAAAACATTAATTTTATGTTGGCTGGAACACAATAAAGTCACAGTTGAATAATGATTTGCAAAAACTATTTATTAAGTGCCTGAACAACCCAAAATGTGTGAATGCCAGGTCCTAGGAGGCTACATACTTTTACCACCACTCCTACTACTATCATTACCTTCTCTTCTAGGCTCAACCACTTATACAATCTTAAAAATACCAGATTTGATTCATTATTTCAGGTTTTGTTGTTCTAATTACAATAACTTCAATAAAATAACTAATTATAAATCAAATGTTTCAAAGTTTCTCTTATTTTTATGTAATTTCCCCAAATGTTGCTTTTACTTTTAACATGAGTAATTATTACTACATTGTGGTCACACTTGAGTAATTATTTGAAGTTAAAGTACATTTTCTTGAGTGTTTATTTTCAGCTACTTCACTTTCCATTACGTTATCAGTACTATTAATACTATTACAACTGCGACTTCTATTAGTGCAGAATGCTATTTGGTATTTTTAAAGGAGCACTATGTAATTTTACTAGTGGATGGTAAAATGACATAGTTATAGTTGTCAGATCTGTTGGAAGTAAGAATACATAGTGGATTAAATGCTAGATGGATAAATTGTTTTCCAATACAAACATCATTCCAGGTAAAGCAATAATATCTCCATGGCAACACATACTGTAAGTAACTGATCCAACACCAAAAATGTTACACTGTGCACCTTTAACTTGAACTTTTTTTTCAGTTTTATATCCTCCTAATTTGACATATTTTACCTGGCACCCGAGCAGCAGACTTTTGCGCATGTTGGCCACTCTGATCATAAGACAGGGCTGTCCTTCATAACTGGATACGACCGCGTGTTGACTGAACTTCACTGTCTCTCCTCGCTTCTTTGGACGAGCAACCTGAGGAGAAAAAAAAAAACAAGAAAAATGCCTTGTCATACTTAGCTGACCCCTCATTCCTAGAAGTCCAGACTATAAAACATAACTGCACCAATCATTTACAAAAGTTCATGACTTTTTGAATAACAGCTCCTAATATGTGATTTATTGCATGTGGTGACTAAACATAAACAGAGTCTGATTGAGCGCGAGGAAAGTATTAGAGATTAGATTTCTTAGATAATATTAAAGGGAATGGTCAGGAAATGAGTAATGAATTATAAAGATAGCAATAGCTGTAAAAACTATGGCAGGTCAGTCAATGGCCTTCTAAGAACAATTAAAGCCAATGTGCATTTGACACTAGATGATAAGAGGAAATCAAAACATAAAAATAACATTAAAAGCTCATAATAAAGCTCTTAAATAAGGCTGAAATTGCATCTAAAGATTACCATAAAGAAAGTCTTCAGACTCTAACAATGTAATGCTCACATTTACTACTTTACTACCAAGAAATATTACATAATGAATTATCTTCATCTGATTTATAGCTCATTGCATCACAGGAACCATTTGTAAGATTTTGATTTTAAATTCCATAAATACGACCTAACTGAGTCCCCAGATTATATAAAGTAGTTCATATCTGGTAATAAATATTTTTTTTAATTTATTCCTTATTACAAAAACACATTTGTAATTTAGTTTTCAAGATGATTATCCAATTGGAAAACAGAATCAGCCTCACGTGAGTCTCTCATTTGGGCTACCAAATCGTAAAGTACTTTCTCTGCAGCCAATCAAGAGTCAGTGCTAGTGTAGCCTCTGCAGAGCAGTGAGTGAATTCTGGAGGTTCTGAGCTTTCACACAAGGCATGGCCTGTCCATATACTGAGAATGACAAAAACTGTGATCTATCTACACTTTAAACCCTGATTCACTCATGATTATAGTTTTTTTGAAAACTGTACTGCAGGCTACATTTCAGATCTTTTTATTTTGATTAAAATAATCATCAGGTTGTATTTTACAATTCACAAACCTCTATAGAAGTCTGGGTTTTCCAGTTTTGTTCCATACCTTAGCGAGGAAAGTGCCAGTGACAAAGATCTCCATGATGGTGGTCAGCACAAGCTGGAAGATGAGCAGGACGATGGCAGCAGGACACTCCTCTGTGATGCACCTGAAGCCGTAGCCGATGGTGGTCTGAGACTCCAGAGAAAACAGAAAGGCTCCGGTCAGTGTCTTCACCTCCATCACACACGGGGTGTGGTTAGACGGGGGGTCGAACTCTGTGAAGTGAAGGTAGAACCACAAACAAAACAATTATCAGTAATGCTTTTATCACAATTTACTTTTGATTGTCCTTGAGAAATGGTTTTGTTCCACAATATGGCATTAAACATGTCTCTCATTGGACAAAGTTAGAAAGTGTACGAAAGCGTATGCAAGCATTTTATTGTCCTATAATCAGGAAGTGTATGCTTGCATGCTAGTTGTTGCTAGTTGTTAACTTTATTGGCACAACAACACTCTCTGAAAGTTGTGAAAAGCACTTATAAACTTATCACAGTGAAAATTTGAATGTTCAGAATGCATAAGATAAATGAGGAATAACTTTGGACCACTGCAAACCATTTAAAACTGTTCAGTAAAAATCAAGCAAAGAAATGTTAGTGGGAGATTGCGCCCTCTATCTTTCTATATCATTAAACTTGCTCTATCCTATTGTTTTTATAAAGTGTATTTTCTTACCCAGTAGGTCTCCATGGACCAAAGCGATGAGATACCAGAGGATCCCAAACACAAACCATGTCCCGGCGAAGGTGGCTGCAAACAGGAAGAACTTGTATCTCCACTGCATGTCCAAAAAGGTGGTCCAGAGGTCTCGGAGGTAGAGCGCCCCCCGGCCGCTCACATGCTCCAGACACACATTACTGCGGCCATCTTTGGACAGGACCCTGCGCCTCCTCCTCAGAGCGTTCAGCCCGGCCGCTCCATTGGTCCCGTTGGTCCCGGTGTTGGCCCCCGGGGGCCCCAGCAGAGGTTTGGTGATGTCTGTTTGGGTTTGGGAGTGGCACACCTTTTGGGGGGAGGAGCCTTCGGAGGATGGGGGTGTGGCTGAGGTCATGGCTGAAGCAGCGATTGGCTGGAGGAGAAAAAGAGACAAACAAAATATTCATGTTTCAACTTCCTTTTTATAAGCAACATTTTGAAGACTTTTCAACACTCTGAAACTGTGAGTAGGATCAAAAATATATTTTTTATGGAGTATAAGTTCACTCTTTCACACATACCACATCAAAATTTGGACTAACCAAATTGACTATAACCAACGTAAAATAACATTGCTAACCAATGAAACAGCCAGAGAATAATTTTTGTTTTATTTAATATTTATTGTATTTTAAATACATTACAACAGTAAGGCCTGAGTGCATGAACACATGTGATAAATGAAATGAAAAACTGAATCAAAAATATTTTTTGTCTAGCAGGTGTATATTTGGAGATGTTGTCTACAATAAAAACATTCCAGTTGTTCCCACAAACGAGCATGTTAACATTTGTTCATAACGCGCCTGTATTACCCAGTATTCTGATTTATGTTAAAATGTTGTTTCCTCATCAAAATATACTCTGAGTTGTTTTGTTTTTGTTCCATTCACACATGTTTAACACACAGACCCTGCATAGGCTCCAAGATTTGTTCCACCTTTTGATCTCATGCAGCAATAAAGAAAGTGATCCACTTTGTTATTAAACTCCATAAACCTGCACTAGAATCATTTGGATGATTTCAGACCTGGAATCATCAATCTCCAAGGTAAAAAGTAGCTTTTAATTTGAAAACTACTGCTTCAAGGTGAAACAGAGCTTTTTGAGCTTTGGAGATGTAGACAGACTAACAGTAAAGGATTACTCAGACATGTGTGCATGAAACAAAACACAGCTGCATATATGTTTTTGATGAAGTAGCAATACTATGGATAACATAGAATCTTTAATGTAAAAAAAAAAAACAACTGTTGTTTGAGAGAGGAGACAAACTGGACCATTTGTGAAAAGAAGATTCACAGTGACTATCAGCCCATATTTGACACTCTCTTTCTTCTGCCTGTCCTGGACGCTCCACTGAACCTTTTCTCTTCAAGCAGCAGCTGTCTCCGTCAAAATAAAAGCCTCATTCAGCATCAGGGCACAGCTGCTCTTTCACATTAAAAGCCTGATAGTTCTGGTTTGTTCATGCGCCAAAATCTGGAGACAGCCTCAGAATCGAGATGAGGGACACTACTGGCCATTACTTAACACCAAACACAAAAGACAAGTGTGTAATATTATTCCAGAGGGGATTTATAAGAGTTACTGTAATCTCACTGGTACATTTAGAATTTTACAACAGCTTATATCAGTCTGTTACAAATAAATATAGACTGCTAATGAGTCAGTTGAGAATAGAGAACTCCAGAAGCTGATGTTTACTTTAGATCAATAAAAGTGAAAACATGCGTATCACACTCAGACGGCCGATGTCCAAAAGCTTTTTTTTTGTTTGTTTTTTTAAATAACTTCGGCAAAAAAAAGCCTTTGTCAGATATTTTTCTTGCTTTGGACCACAGTATACCAATATGCTGCAGTATAACATTATTTAAAAATAAAAAAAAATTAAATTAAAAAAGCTTTTGAACATCGAGCTTGTGAGTGTGCTATACATTTTTTCACTTTTATTTTACTGTTCCTTGCATTTGCACTTTTACCAGAACTTTGGTGTTCTGCGTTTTCTGTTTCATTTGATTTACCTTAGATCAGTGACACGTACTTTTCAATTGACGTTCATGTTTTACAATGTTTGTATTATATTTAAACCTTCATTTAACAAAGTTCATAAAGGTGTTGTCATTTATTGTTATTAGTTTAACCATAAATATTGTGTAATTAAGGCAAGTTTTGGTAATTGTTTACATTATAGTTGCTTAGTAATCAGTCAAAGTCATGACTTGGACTCGAGTCAGACTTGAGTCACTATTTTTAGGACTTGAGATTTGACTTGATAAAATGGATTAAGACTTGGGACTTGACTTAGGCTTGAAGGTTAATGACTTGGGACTTGACTCGGACTTGAGGCCTGTGACTTAAGAAGATTTGAGAAGCACTTTTAAATCTTTCTTTTCTGACCATAATGACTCACACTAAGATCTTGTCAAGAGATTTAAAAAGGAAAAAATAACTAAATTAAATTCCTCAACTCTTAGTTTATAAATACTCATATGCAAACACACTTAGATTTTTAAAATACAGTTTAGTTTAAAATTCATATTCATTTTGCAAAAATCTAAGCTATATTTGGTACTTTGGTTTAAAGACTTGAAATGACTTGAAGCTCAAAACAGACGACTTGGACTTGGTTTGGACTTATGGGCCAGTGACTCAAGACTCGACTTGGACTTGCCTGTATTTGACTTTGGACTTGACTTGGACTTGAGTTCAAAGACTTCACACTTACTTGAGACTTGCAAAACAAAGAAATAAATATGTCATATCTGCAGTCCATGCCAAAATCTTAAATATGATTACATTATAACAAGTTAGAAATGAATAGTCTAACCCGTCATATGCACTTTAATCATGCATATTTAATTATCAGTGCAACTCTTACCGTACTAAGTGTTATTGTCCACATGTCTGTAATTATAACTTCCCCTGCTCACTCATACACGCTGTTAGTGTCAATGAACACTTGTATTCATATGTCCACAATAGTACAATAGTATAGTCTCTTGTATAGACTTTACAAGAGCTTTGAATGAGCAGTCTGCACTTCTAACCCGAGGGCCATGTACACTAATTGTCACAGCCCTGGTCATTATGTGGACAGACCATAATATCTGTCCCTCCATCTCTCTTTCACTCCTCAATGCACGCTTTGTCCCAAACTGCCTCTGCTTTTCCGGCAACACAAAAAATGAAAAAAAAAAAACATTAATGCAAGATGTGTGGTCATATAAATCATGGGTTTCAGCTTTTGAGGAGTTTTTCAAAAGATATACATTATTTTGGTTTAAAGGGTCCTATATTACGCAAAATTGACTCATTTTATAATGTTGTTACCTCCTCAGAAACATGTCTGGAGTTGTGTTTTGTTTCATTCACATGTGTTTGAGTAACCCTGTATCTCCAAAACTCAAAATGAAGGAAAAATTCAGCCTAAATGTGCAGGATTTGTGTTTTATACATGTGTGAATGAAAGAAAACGCAACTCCAGGTATGTTTTTGAGGAGAAAACAACATTATAACAGAAAACAGAGTAATATTGGCGCTTTAAATTGTCATTTGCTATGGCCCATGAAGTCTTTGTCACTGTCTTTCTATCCACTCTCAACGTCCACAATGAAATCAATATAATAGACATTTGTGTTTGGGATAGTTTGCTGAATACTGGACTGCGGAGGATCGAGGATCGAGGAGAAGGGGGTGGGGTCAAAGGTGGTGGTCATGCATGTGATTGGTCAAATTCATCTCTGCTTGAACTTTGAACTCCACGGACCTCCTGCCTACATGTACAGTAAACATATAGACCCTTTCAGACGCCACAAATGTACAGTTTGTTCTAAAAATGTACTTATTTGTATGTCTGAATATGAGTACTGGAATAGTGTGAACAATAACCTATAAAGTACTACTTACTTTCTAAAGTACTTAGAAACAGTAATTTACATGTCATCTCACTAACACAGCAAAAAGTGGATTGTTAAAATTGACTCTCACAGAATTAATTTTAACATTTTCTCAGGGTTTATATGTCCAATCTGTTCTAGAGTTAATATAACATTTTTGGAAGTGCTAATTAAGTAACACTGGACCAAAGTTCCTGTTTAACCCGAAATCAAGAGTTATATTAACGTTTTGAGAGTCAACAGATAACACTTTGTAAGGGTATCCTGATTTAGCTGAACAACACACAGAAGTGTTTCATTTTTGCACATTATTTTTGTTAATTTAACATTTTGGGGAGTAGTAACTACACACTATAAAGTGCAAATGAAGGTAGACTGTAAAAAAACACATGCATGTAAAGCCTTTATTTTCTGGTCTTCTCTTATGGGAGTTTGAAGTGGTGGGAGATGCCAAATTAACACTTAGGAAAGTTGAATTAACACTAGTGGAAGCTTCAGCCATACCAACTCTGGCAAATAACCCCAACTCAAACCCCCATTTAACTTTCAAATAATTCAAAAGGTAAACATTTTTTGTGTTAAAAACAACTCTGAAATATTTTACCCTGAAATTTTAACTCTCCAATTTTTGCTCTTGCATTAAAGTTGAACAGTGTCTCTTTTTGGTGGAGGTTCTGCCTCTAACTTATCTCCATGAAGGTGTTGTTGTTGCTTTACCTGGAATGTTCCATGCAATATATTTTATTAATGTAGCTTATCTATCATTATTGAGTAACAGGTCAGATCTGTGGAGAGGAGAGCACATTCACAGGAGGACTGCATGTCTTTAAAGTATTTTTTTTTTCTCGCAGTTAAATACTTTTCATGCAGTTTTTATGTCTATATGAAGATTTGGGGTGAGACTGATTGTCAAAATTGCTTGTCACTCTCTCGTTGGAGGCAATATTAATGGTTAATTCAGCGTCCTGTTATACGGTGCCATCGGTTGTTAATTGCTTTGGCAACAGTCCTCACTATCGCTATGGCAACAAACCTAGCTTTTCATCCTCCTGAAACCCATGGACAGCAAGTTGACGGGAAAGGCGTACTTTCCCTCTTTTTGAACTAAAATTCCCCTTCTTTTTATGAATAAACGTCTTGCACAAATGTTTGGAGAGCCGAAGCCAAGTTTAGGTGTATGTCTTCTCCAGTGTCCAGTGTCCCTGAGCTTCCCTGTCCCCTGTGCACAAGAATCCTTTGTGTTCCGCCACATGAAAGGGACAAAAGACAGCATTCAATATTACAAACTGGGCGAGCGAGACTGTGTGAGACAGACAGAGGAAGAGAGGGAGAGAGAGAGAGAGAGAGAAAGAGAAACAGGGAGAGGGAGAAAGAGGGAGAGAGCGAAAGGAGGGGTGTGGAGAGAGATGAGAGGGGAGAGAAAGAGAGAGAAGAGAAGAGAAAGAGAGTGAGAGATGGACAAAATGAGAGAGACAGAGAAGACAGAGGAGGAGAAAAAAAAGAGAGTGAGAAAGCGAGAGAGTTGAATTAGTTTGTGTGACGTAGTGAAAGGCTATAAATGGGGAAATCAACACTGTAAAAACTGAATATCTTGTCTCAAATTCTGAATATTAATTTTGCTTTTGGATTTTTTTTTTTGCTTTATTTTGTTAGAAGATCTTGTTCATTATGCATCGATTTTAGTCACTTTTTTTTTTTTTTTTTTCAAATTCATGGAGATGTTCTTACTTTACCTACAGTGCCTCACTATGGTATCCATGGAAACAAACAATAAAAACACATGTAGTTGAATGCATGTTGGATCATTTTAATACCATACTGTGGAACATTCCAGGCAAAGCAATAGCATCTCCTTTGTGGCGGACACTCCAAGATACAGAGTGCACCAAATTGAGTGAAATTTTCTTTTGCATAATTATTTTTGCTATTAGTCAAAAAAATAACTTGAATAATAAATCTACATATTTAAAACACTAAGTACGAGTTAGTAGTTTGATCAATTTCAACTACACTAGGCTAAATCTTTAACAAAACGAAAATAAAAAAATCCTTACATTTTTCATTCTCACTGTGGTTTGTTTTGTACAATCATAAATTCATAAATGATACACTTCTGTGCCTTCTTTATCATTATTATTAGTTTGTACGACCATAAACGATAGACTTTTGTGCCTTCGTTAACATTATTATTAGTTTGCATGACCATAAACAAAAAAAAAAAAAATCTCATTCTTCATTCTCATCTTCCTTATTTTGATACGATCATAAACGATAAACTTCTGTGCCTTCTTTGTCATTTTTATTAGTTTGTATGATCATAATACAATACAATACAAAAAAAGAAAGAAACTGGGTGAAAATTATGTTTAGTATGCATAGTATGTAATTTATTTTGCTATATGTACAAGTTTTTCATTATATTTATAAAGTTTTGTTCATCAATGTACAGTAACCACATCATTTTAAATTTTTTGAAACTAGTTTTGTTCTTCTTCCCACTCCTTTTTGAGATATGTTTACATGCTTTTCTGTTGTTTACAATGTATATGTAGTATGTATATGATTATTTTTTCTCTCTTAGCACAAACTCGAAATAAAAACGAATCAAATAAAAAGCACAAAACAGCATCAGTACTATAAATTCCAGCCACACACATAGACTATAATGGGATTGTAGTGGAGGATTGAGCGGCCTATGGAGGTCTGCTGACACGTTTAATGCGGTGAAGGTGGAAATGACTGTAAAAAAAAACACAGTGACAAAGAAGCGTCATCAGTATTCCAGGAGGAGAGAGCTCCCCCGGCGCAGTCAAAGACCCCCATAGAGCGGAGCATGAATGGACTGACCACTGTCCACAGCAGCCTCTGGTCCAGCCTCTGCACTGTACAAACATACACCGGGCAAGACGACAGCTGCTCACACAAACGCACAAAAGTCATCGGAAATTTAAAGTCAAACGGCCTCAATGAGCAATTATTTAGCACCTTGGGTTCAGAGTAATTAGGACTGTTGCCATAGTGACTAACAATTTATCAAAAAAATACACCCTTGAATGGTGAAAAGCCCTCAAAATGTTGTTGAAATCCATGCATAGAATCTCATAATATTTTAGCAGTTTATTCATGTTATAAATGATATAATAAAGTATGTTGTTTTCGGTTTCAGTTTTCAGTTTTATTAAAATGAGACCAGTATTGTAACAAAACGCATACTTTCTAATTAGCTGATTCATAATTTACTTTTATCAATTTCTTTTTTATTTTACTTAACGATAAATCATTGTTCTCCATCATTTATCATCCTATTCTTTTTACTGACAAAATTTCAGAACTTTTCCATGACTTTTCATGACCTAAAGTGAAATTTCCATGACTCTAGGGCACCTTGCATGTGTAGAACTGATTATACTTTTAAACTAAATATGAAATGTGAACCCTTTCCACTCACCTTATGGTTTGGTATTATAATTTTTTAATCTTCAAAATACTTTCAGCTCATTTATTGTCGTCTCTTTTAAACAAAAGGCACACGCATTTGGAAATAATCATAATAACCTAATGGTAACTTAACAGAACACTGTAGTTGCGTGAAAGAGATACTAAAATTCCATGACTTTTAGAGATTTTCCATGACTGTGGGAACCCTGTATCATTCCAGCCACCAGCGTAATGCACCTTTAAACTAAGGTGCATTACTCTCCATGGAGAAGTTATTGCTTTGCCTGGAATGCTCCACAGTATTAGTCTGATTCATCAGTCGGTTTCACTTCATGGAAACCGTCTGTCCTCGCAGCGTTAGGATTTATTAGCTCGATGGTAGGCGGGTACTTTTTTTTATTAAACCAATTGCTGCTATTTGGTTGTGACATGTCAATCAAATCCCGTAGGAAGAAGGGCAATAACGTCTTTCCCCTTGATAAAATTCACCAAACATTCTCTTTGTTCCAGCTTTAAATCCTCGATCTCGGGAATCGTTGCCAACACAGAATGTATGTCTTCGTCTACATCCATCTCGACCGCTTTGTTTACTGTTGTGCTGCACCACAAAAGGGATCCAGACAGACGCTTGAGTTTGACGTCATGGTTTCACAGCTCTTTGCTGATTGGCCGGTGCACGGTCTATAACTTCTAGGGTTCTTGCAAACATCTAGTGTATTCTGATTCCTAACGTAGTCGCTGGAGAGAAATGAAATTGAGTGGAGGCACAAGGTGGCGCCAGCCTGGCTACCACAGTATGGCATTAAACTTCAAATTACTTGTCAGATCTGTGGACAGGCGATCCCACTCACACTTCAGTAAGAATACATGCTTTCAGTTATCTCTAATGGATTGGAACTCCAGATAAAACCATAACCAGTAGCGATCCTCCCCACCAGAAAAGTTACATAATTCACCTTTGAAAACAGTCATTTAGTTGATGGCAGATAGAAAACATCTTGAACTGTACACTTAAGTGACCCAAACTACTTTTTCTTCTTCTACTTCCTCATCTGGTTGTCATGGGAAACAGAGGACACTAACTACATTAGGTTTTAGCGATAGCCCACCCCAACGTAAGATTTAGTGAGAGTAGTTTTAATTCAAGTCCACCCTGAACCAGAGCCATAAATCGGAGCAGCTTGACTCTGTTGTGATGCCGAATTTAATGGACAAATGTTTCCGAGCCAAGTCTCGCTGTTGCCAGAGAAACCAAGAAAAACACCTGCTCTCTCTTGCTCTCCTGGTACTTTCATTCACAACTTTGGCCATTCTTAACCTCAAGACTGTTTTCTTATACATGGTTAAACTAAAATTGTACACGATGAAGTAAGAGATAGTGTAATGTTGTTTTCTGTCATTATCATTGAAAATAATTCAGTTTGCACCATTTGTAAAAGAAAATCTCTCTAAATTTTACATCCAGTCTCATGTTTTTCCTTCATTCACAACTTTGACCATTTTAAACTACACTCTGTTTTATTATATACTGTTAAACTATATATAGATAATTGTATAACTATAATTTTCAGTCATTTTAACCGGCTGACACTCTGGCGAACCAAAGTGGAGCTTAAGTTACAAATTATACATTAATTTAAAAAGATATGACACTGTGTGAATGAACTTTTTAGTACTGAAAGTGAAATAAGGTCCAATAACACAAAGTACTACATGAATAAACAATATTAAAGCAGATTTATTTACATTTGACCACTTGAAAGTGTTACCAAAGTCAATTTCATTTTGCAGTGGGTGTTCTGAATCAAGTTTTGCAGTGTCATGTTGAACAAATAAGTTTATAAAAATGATTATTGTTACAGGAATTTATTTGTAAAGGTGCTGTACTTCATTTTTTTCCTGTCTTTTGCAGTTACTTCTCGCTTACCTTATCCATTCTGCGCATCTTAATTAAGTAAAAAAAATGCTCTTCACAACTTTGAGAGGTCAGAGCGGAGTTTGTATTTACAGTAAAGCTAACAACGACAACGCGCACTTCCTGATTATCTGATATGTTACACTTTTATTAGACTAGTTTGACCAGTTTTTGTCAAGATCTGCTGTTTTGGAGAACACATTTTGTTCAAATACATGCATACAGGGGTTTTCACTGTCATTGCTTTCCTTTTTTAATAGATTTGCATTGTTATTGTTTATCGTCTCATTTCTGATCACAAGTTTGCAAAATGATGTGGTCCAACGGTGTTTGGAGAAGCTGTGCACTGATCTCAGCTGTGAATACAACAGGAGCTACACCATCGCATCTGTTATTCTGCTGAACTCACTGACCATCTCATTCATGACCAACTTTTGTCCATAAAATAAACTTATTATTGTTACTACAAATCACTATGCAATATTTTATCACTCTTTTACACTTTTACACTGAATTCTACAGTCTGTGAAAGACGCTGAATAAATAAACTTTGCTAAAATAATGATTTGATTTGATTACTGTTTTGTACTTTTTATGCTTTACTGTTATACAACTGATAATGTAGTAAGTTTATAAGTTTATGAGACACCCACAGTACAAAATACTGTTATATATGGATGTCAAGTCACTGTAAAGAAATATAGTGTGTAAACCTTTGTACATTTGTCACATCAATTATGTAAAAGTTTGTTAAGTATTTGTTAGTTTTATGTCAATCAGTGCAGTGGAAATATAATGTAACATGTTTAATCTGAATTTATAGCTTTATATTTGCGAAAAAGTAAAAAATCTGTACCTAAACTAAATAAAATCTTACCTTTTTTTAAGATGTTTTGAACCACAGCTCTGCAAACTTATCGACCGGCTCCGAAGTCACTGTCCAGTTATCGCAAATCTCTTCTTCTTCTTCTTCTTCAACTCTTCAATGCCAATTTCTCCATTTTATTTTCCATTTTGTTTCAGCGTCGCAATCTTCTCATCACGCTCAATTTGAATCTCGCTTTCTGGGCTGACCGCCTGGCACTGACCGGTCTAGCTGGCTCTCTGCGTCATTATGTAATAGCTCGATATCAAACTTCAGTCTTCTTTTTCTTCTGCTGCCGCTTCAAACTGAGCTCTCCGACTCGCTCGAAGGGCCTACTTATGTCGTCCACTCCTCCGGGACCCCCTTCCTATGCACAAAAAGAAAAAAAAGTATTCAAACAACTGCTGTTTCTACACATTTTAATTCATTAATTCAACTCCTCCTACCCAGCCCTTCTCCGCCACTGTATGCTATAAAAGGGCTTCTTTGTTGGCCGGCCCTCCTCTGCTGTTTTGGCCTTTGTCAGCTTTCTCGTGTCTACGCTCGATGGTTCATAAGATACAAGAGTGGAAGTTGTTTTGCAGCTACGGAGGTATTTACAAATCAAAGTGAGAGCCCGGACAGGCGCTGGCTTTGTGTCGTGACGGGGGGGCAGCTCGGTGGCAAAGGGGCAGAGAATGGGGGCAATGTCTGTGCGCGGGGGGCAGATGTGTGAAGGCATGCCAGGAGCTGCTCTGTGGACCTGAGGAGGGATGAGAGAGAAAGCGAGAGGAGAGACGGAGGGAGGAAGAGAGGGAGGTAGAGGAGAGGTGAAGAAAGAGAGAGGTAAATGGAGAGATGGAAGGTGAAAGAGCGATTTAGAGGGAGAAAGAGGAGATAGAGCAGAAACTGAGAAAGCGAGGAAGATGGAGAGATACGGAGTGACAAAGTGAGTGATGTAGGTGGAGAACGAGAGGGAGATAAAGGAGAGACCGAGGGAGGAAGAGAGGGAGATAGAGGAGAGATGAAGAAAGAGGGAGAAAGAGGAGAGATAGAGGGAGATAAAGCAGAGATTGAGTAAGTGAGGAAGATACAGAGAGATGGAGCGAGAAAGTGAGAGATGGAGAGGGAGAACGAGAGGGAGATAGAGGAGAGATGTAGAGGGACAAAGAGAGGGAGATAAAGGAGAGATGGAGGGAGAAAGAGAGAGATTCAGAGGGAGATATAGCAGAAATTGAGAAAGAGAGGAAGATAGAGAGAGATGGACAGAGAAAGTCTAAGATGTAGAGGGAGAAAATAGAGGGAGATAGAAGGTAAGGGAGAAGGAGAGGGATGGATGGATGGGATAAGAGGAAGAAAGAGAGAGAGAGAGGAGAGATTGAGGGAGGAAGAGAGGGAGATATAGGAGAGATGAAGAAAGAGAGATAGAAGGAGAGATGGAAGGTGAAAGAGTGATTTAGAGGGAAAAAGACGAGGTAGAGCAGCAATTAAGAAAGCGAGGAAGATGGAGAGATGGAGCGAGAAAGTGAGAGATGTAGAGGGAGAAAGAGAGGGAGATAGAGGGAGAAAGAGCAGAGATTGAGAAAGCGAGGAAGGTAAAAAAGAGATGGAGAGCGAAAGTGAGAGATGTAGCAGGAGAAACAGAGGGAGATAGAAGGAGAGATTGAGGGGAAAAGAGAGGGAGATAGACGGAGAGATAGAGGGAGAAAAACAGGGAGATAGAGGAGAGATGGTGGCAGAAAGAGAGGAAGATAGAAGGTAGGAGTGAAGGAGAGAGAGGGAGGGAGGGATGGATGTGATAATCATGAGAGGAGAGATGGGGAGAGAAAGAGATGGAGATAGAAAGAGAGATGGAGGGGGAAAGAGAGATATAGAGAAGAGATGGAGGGACAAAAAGAGGGAGAAAGAAGGAGAAACAGAGATGGATTTTCCCCTTGTGATGTCATCAAGTCAAAATACAGGAAGTGCTCCACTGTGTTTTTAAACTCCACACACCTTCACTAGAATCATTTGGATAATTTCAGCTCTGAATTTGCCAAACTTTGAAGCCAGAGCTTTTGTTTCAACCTCTTTGAAACTGATTTGCTCTTCATGCAGGAGCAGATTAGAGACTTTCTGTTGGCAATCTCATCTGTCTAAAAGAACAAACAAAAAGCTCCAGGATGCAGTAATCCAGGATTACTTAACACGAGTGAATGAAACGAAACACAACTCCAGCTATGTTTTTGGGGAGGTAACAGCATTATAACATGGCTAAAAGCTCAGAAAAGTAGATATTAAACTTATAAATAGAACACTTTTGTTATGATCTTAAGACTGATCCAGCTTTTCAATATGTCTCGTGTCCTTTGAACTTTCCAACTTTCACATTTTTGCCAAAATATTTACATAATAATATAGTTTTACATCTTGATATTGACAGAAAATGGTTTTACCTTTAAAAATACATAAAATTATTATTATTTATTATGATATAACTGGGACATACCTCCTCCTCGTCTGCTGTACAGTTTATACAAGGTCAGTCTGGTTGTTTTAATGGTGGTAGGAGTAGGTCACTTCCATTATTTAACTATATTGTACAAATTGAAAGACTACTTTAATAAGTCTCTAAAGGAGTATGGAAATACACAGGGTTAAAGTGTAACTCTATGGGACGTCCCTTACAAAACTGTACCTTAAAGGGCAACTGTCAGCTGTATTTAGAGCTGTCCTGATCTTGTTTTGACGAGAGGCGACTCTACCGTCCACCAGCAGGGGGCACACACGCATGAATCTCCACCGGGGCCTCCAGAGCGGACATCTGCAGCCTCTCCTCACCCCTGCTCATGGTTAGAAGCTCAAGGCTATTTGGGCATCTGGCACCTGACTTTTACAATACATAAAACTACTGCAGTTAGGGATGGGACAATTCTGTAAAAAGAGTTGGTTCTACCCTTTCGATTTGGTCCTCGCGTTATTGTTTTTGTGCAGAGATAAAAATACATGTGGTTTGTCAAGCTGCAGGTGTTTTGTTGACACAGAAGTGAGAGTGAGTGCAAGAGGAGAGTCGTGTATACAAAATGCAAACATTTCATTCTGGAGTTTCCAAGCAAATAGTTTCATATTTTTGTTCTTTGACTCACAATGATCATTAAGTTCCTGTTTCAGGCTTAGTAGTTACATCATTAATATCCTAACCTTAACTCCTAGGCCCTTAATTAAACAATTGTCTGAAACATTCTCATTTTAAATTAAGCCTTTGTTTATGCTTTATTTATGTCTAAAGTGGTACTGCTACTGTAATTCCTAACTTTAATGACTGCGCTTTGTACTTTAAGTTGCTCACTATAAGATTACAGGGACAGTGTTCAGTGCTATTCTATGTTTTACTTTTTTTCATTCACTTTTACTGTAGCTCTTTACAGCAACAAATACATTGTTTTTGAGAACAACTGTGTGTTCAAATAAAACTTAGCAGAGGCCTGTCACCTGCACAATATGGCTCCATAGATTCACACGCACATCAATCTGTGAGGCCCTCCGTGCTGTCCGATGGGGGGCCGCTCCTCTCTGTGCTGTCCCCTCTCCTCCTGCTGTATCTGGGGCTCCGCTGGGGCCTCTACAGTGCAGGGGTCCATTTATATATGTGTTTACCGTCGAGCTGGTGATCCTGGGCACGTTTGGAGACCCCCAGTTTCCTGAAAGAGAAAGAGGCTCGAGCTGCACCTGAAGACATAAAGAAGATCAAAGAGATGAACTGTCATCACGGAAACACGGCGTAGAGTTAACTAGTGAGAACACAGCTGGTTAACGGCAGGAAAACATACAGCACAGGCCTATTATGTTTGTATTTATAAAGTAGAAATAAATTTGTGGTAAGTAAGTTAGTTCTGCCTAGCAAGAGATTTGTTAGAGATTAAGTCCATAAACTTGACACATTAAATTGAAAAAACAATTCTTAAAAACTACAAACAGCAAACAAACAAAACAAAACAAAACAAAAAACCCACACAAACAATTTAATCTGTGTATCATTTGTTCATTTGTTTTTCAAAATAAAACCAAAAATAAGAAAATTAAAAAACAATGATTTTCTTCATTATTTGTCTCCAAAATCAAAATGAAAAAAAAAGGATAATGATTAATTTTTTCAGTTTTCGATTTTAGGATTAAATGAATAATGGAAAAAAAGGATAACGACTGTTTCCTGTTTCTGTGACTTAAACTGAGATGCTGGACTTAATGAGGACTGAAGCAGGACTAAACCAGGACAAAATCAGGGCTAAACCAGATCTAAACCAGGTCTAAACCAGGATTGAACCAAGTCTAAACCAGGACTAAACCAGTCTCAGTCCTGGTGTCAGTCCTGGTCAAGTCCTGGTCTCAGTCCTGTCTGGTCCCAGTCTCAGTCCTGGTCTGGTCCTGGTCTCATTCCCAGTCTGGTCCCGGTTTCAATCCTGGTCCTGGTACCGGTCTCTTCCCGGTCTCAGTCCTGGTCTGTCCCAGTCTGGTCCTGGTTTCAGTCCTGATCACCTGACAGTCTACGCGGGCGCACCTCTGGCCTGTCCTGCCGACACTCAGTACTGGTTCAGTCCTGGTTTAGACCTGGTTTAGTGCGGTTTTAATCCTGTTTTAGTCCTGGTTCAGTCTGTATGTGGCGCAAAAGTCCAGCATCGCAATTTAAGCCACGTGAGAAAAGAGGAAATTAGTTGCTTTTTGTTTTCTTATTTTTGGTTTTATTTTGAAAAACAAATGAACGACTGATACACAGATTCACCTTAACTTGTTTCTCCTGACAGAAGGACAAAATTGTTGTTTTATATGGATAGGCCAAGTAATGACATGCGATATTAACCATAAACAAGGACAAAGTATTTCACCATGGACTTCTCATCTGCTCATTAAATTTTCCTGCCTATTATTATTATTAAACTACTGAATTTTCAACCAAGATAAGAGAGTTTTAAAGAATAAATTTGGTACTGTAGATGCTGGTAATCTTGTAAATCGTAATATAAGCAAATTACCATTATCAGATTTGTCATTTTTATCATGAAATGTTAATTTTATCTCCATTATTCGACTGTATGAATGAATGTGACCCTTGCTACATTAAATGAACCCAAATCTTTCTTTTGTTTATTTTCAGTGCAGAGTTTGGGAAGTCACACATGTAGGTCAGCAGTCACCGAGAGGGCGCTGAGCCAAAAGAGGAGGATGGGGCAGAGGAGGTAGAGGAGAAGAAGGAGGAGGAATATCCAGACGACTTTTATTCCTCGGGACGGAAGACGGAAAAGGTTGTGGTACAGGGCTGCAGACAGGAGAGGCTCCACAAAGAAGAGGAAAGAATAATTAGTGTTATTTAGATGAGACCAGTCGGAAAAGTCCTCCCCATTACGCCTTCTCTTTGTACACTTTTGTATAGTGGCTGCATGGTGGCTGCTGTGGAACATAACTAATCCCACAAATTTTCATCTTACTATAATTGAGTAATTATTTTTTTGCAGGGTAATTGGACTTTTTTGAGTAGAACAATCAATCAAAACTTTATCCATATAGCACTTTTCATACATACACAATGCTCAAAGTAGCCTGATTCATCAGCCGATTTCACTTCGTGGAAATCGTCTGACCTTACATTACGATTTGTTCACTCGACAGCAGACGGGTACTATTTTTCATTTAACCAATCGCTACTATTTGGTCGTGACGTATATAATGTGCCGACAACGGAGCTAACTGATATATTAAGCTTTTCCCAAATCCCGTAGGAAGAAGGGCAATAACATCTTTCCCCTTTGATAAAATTCACCAAACATTCTCTTTGTTCCGACTTTAAATCCTCAATCTGGGGAATCACACAGAATGTATGTTTCTTCACTGATTGGCTGGTGCTCAAACTCGCACTTCTGAGAGGATTTTGCAAACCGTCTAGTGTATTCCGATTCCTGACCCAGTCTCTGGAGAGAAATGAAATTGAGCGGAGGCACTAGGAGAGAAAGTGCTTCACAGAAAAACAAATTAGCACCTGAAAACGTATTTACCATGAAGAAAAAAAAGAACACAAACACATGATGTACAGAGCTCAAAGAATATTCGGATTGTGGTTTGAAATAACTGTACTGATAACTGAATATGTGTCTAAAAATCTGCTAGTAATCAGCACTTTGAATTGTATTTTTCATGTACCTTTTACTTTTATTTAAGTACAGTTTCCGCAGAAGTACTCTAGCACATTTTACATTTTAATTACGTAACTGTAATTGAGCACAAATTTGCAGTTCTCTCTTGACCTCTGCGTGTTGGATTGCCTTATCATGCACTCTTGGCCTCCTGCTTCTGTGCACACAAACACACACACTGTTTTCATGTGGCGTCCCCAGAACTGCACTCCACTACACACGGACAAGCAACATACAACAACAAACGCATGAGCCAGACACATGCTACATACAAGGAGCAGAGGGTCAATGACAGGGCACTATGGTGGATGCACTTTAACCTGCATCCAACAGTCTGACACAAAGCTGATAAGAAATTGTACTGTTGTAGAATAAAGTGTGAGTAGTAGTAGCCTGAGAGTTGAAGAGGCATGACTCTGGTCTAACACAGAAATGTATTCAGCATCAGTACAGGACCCAGCATCCATGAACTCAAGTCTGGTCAGGCTATGCTTCTGTTGAAGGGAGTATTATACCTCTGATGGCGTTTGCTCTACTCTAACAAGTATATTAATTTAATTTAGTTTAGTTTATCTGTTTATTTATCAGGGACAATGCACATAAAAACATTGAGCTACACAAAGAGGTCATTATGTTTATGCAAGGTTATAGCAAAATTGTTCATTTCCATCTTTGCTTCCCTGGACAGGTTGCAGTCATAAATGGCGTACATGCCAATAAAATAAAATACAATGAATATTAATGCAATGATTCATCCTGTCAATCAATAAGTAAAACTATAGCCCCATTCAATCTCAGTCATCACATCCATACACTATTTACTTTTTTACAGTTCATATTGCTGCATTGATACAGGGCAGATGAATGTGTACAGGTTTACAGGTTTTGTTAAAAGTCATCGTATGTTCAGGCGTGGAAATATTTCATAATTTGTACATGATATAATTTCACGTGGGAGGGTGTTCCAGAGTGGCCAGGCTGGTGCTACCTAGTGCTTCTGCTCAATTTCATTTCTCTCCAGCGACTAGGTCAGCAATTGGAATACACCAGGTGCCCCAGAAGTTGTAGACCGCGCACTGACCAATCATTGAAGAGCTGTGAAGCCATGACTGGGTCCCTTTTGTGGTACAGCACAACAGTAAACAAAGTGGTCGAGATGGATGTAGACAAAGCCGTATATTCTGTGTTGGCAACGATTCCTGAAATCGAGGATTTAAAGCCAGAAAAAAGAGAATATTTAGTGAATTTTAAGATGTTATTGCCTTCTTCCTACAGGATTTGGTGCATTACATACGTCACAACCAAATAGCAGCGATTGGTTAAATTAAAAAAGTACCTGCCTACCGTCAAGCGAACGAATCCTAATGTTGCGAGGTCAGACAGTTTCTACGAAGTGAAATGTAGTGAAATATGTGTAGTGTTAGTACGATGTTAGTACGGTAAAAAGTGGAATCATTTTAATAAGTTGTGTTCACGTTCTAGATAAAATTTGATGAAGTCATAATTTCAAGGGCGTGTGTAACTCTAACAGAGCTTTACTGTCTTTGAAAGAAATATCAAAAATAGAATTTAATCTTCCAGAAACCTCAGTATTAATTTAATGATTCCTGCTTTAAAGTTGAATAAGGGCATTAATTCCCGAAGCTATTATCAAAAAATTATTTCTTTTATTCACTTGTGCATGCTCATGTGGATCGGCCCAGTGAATACAGGGATATTAAGGATAAACCTGGTCAAAAAATCTGCAATCTGATAGTTTAACAGCAAATTCTACCATTCTGGCCTGTTCTCTAGCTCAGTTTCAAACTATTCATGAGTTTCAAGCTATGGCGATGGTCCTCAGTGATCATAGCAATTAAGCACTTCAAATCACTTCTCACACAGTCACATTTATCTGAAACGCATCATCAGCGTTTACAGAAAGTTGTGATGTTGTTGTGATGTAAACACACCCTGTTCATAATCGGGTAAAGGGAAAGGTTGCAAAAATTAAGTGGTATACAGGTTTCAGCTTCCTGTTATTCGTGCATTTGAGTTTCCTGTTGTCGCTGCACATTTTGAAGTGTGCAGAGACATTTTGAAGATAGTTAGTCGCTATGCCAATGTACTGAATTTCTCATTACTCTGAAACCTATGGATAAAAGTGTAAAGTGAATAAAGAGTAAGTTCATCACGGAGCGGTTAAAATAGCATAGAAAGTCATGGAAAAATAATATATATATACAGTTCATGTGTCATCAGTGAAAATGGCTGTTCAGGACGACAAAAAGGACAGGCCACCCTAATTCTAATCATGTACTGGCCTGCCACAGTCATAATTGTAGTATTGTTGTATAGTGAGTGTTTTTTTAAAACATACATAGGCCTATTGGAAATTCTGTAAGCATTAAACGAGAAACTGTGCATTGTGCAGTTTTAACGTACAAGTCGTTCATATGTGGAGTCGTAGTTGTACTTCATGCTCCTCGGCAAAGTATTAAAGCAGGCAAGTTAGCCATTAATATTCTCACTGACAGTGGGATAAAACCTACAAAATAATAAGCTACAAGATTTGATTTCACTGTTATGTTTTCTATCTAGGGCCTGAACAAGCTTCTTCCCCTTGAAGGAGAAAATAAAAAGTACAGTATTGGAATGATGTAAAACTGAGCTCTAACTCCATCTGCTGGTTAGAGTGTTGTACAACATATGCAGTCTAAATAAAATATACCACGTTTCTACTACCACAAATAACATCTGGAGTATTGTATTCAGAGTTTTTGTGGTCTAAATTTGGATCTTGGGCAAAAAAAACAAAAACATTGACAATATGCTTAACAATGCTCTATATGTAAATGTAAGATGTTGCTTTGCCAGAAATGTTCCACAGTCACTTACCTATCTCCACTGAGACAAGCAGGTGACACCAACAGGCCAGGTTACAGGTCAGGTTTGTGAAAAGGCGACCCCTGCTTTCTGCATGTTTTGTTTTGTCTGGTATTGTTTGCAATGAAAACATCTGTAATTGAATAAATGCAACATAAATAAGATCAATGTAAAAGCATTCCCGTCAAAGCAATTACATCTCAGAAAAGTTACATACTGCACCTTTAAGGATGAGGATGACAGAAAATACCAGTTGCCGCCACACCCACAATAAGCATGTTTAAACCATAGACTGTATATATAAATGGACAGAGCTAACATCTCTCTGAAACTGCTGCTGGAAGCCTCATCATTTTGGTCTTAAAGCAAGAAGGTTCTGGGTTCGATCCCCGGGTCGCCCGGGCCTTTCTGTGTGGAGTTTGCATGTTTCTTCCCGTGTCTGGACTGGTGCTCCAGTTTCCCCCATCAACCCAAAACATGCTACATAGGTCTCCATAAACAGTTGATAGTCAAGGTCAGTTAAATACAATCAATTCAGTCATTGTGTCCTTAGGCAAGACACTTCACCCACATTGCCTAGTATGAAAGTGGTGTGTGTGTGAGTGATGGTGGTGGTCGGAGGGACCAATGGCGCCGAATGGCATGGCAGCCGCGCTTCTGTCAGTGTGCCCCAGGGCAGCTGTGGCTACAATAGTAGCTTTCCATCACCAGGGTATAGAGTGAATGAATAATGCTGTATGAATGAATGCTGAATAATGCTCTGTAAAGCGTCTTTGGGGACAGAAAATGTATGTGAAAGCGCTATATAAATAAAGACTTACTTACTTAAAGGAACAGTTCGGAATTTTCGACATAGGACTTCATTTCCTAGTGAGCCAGAGTGTTGGAGACATGTGGAGAGACTTTTAAATATTCCATCCAGTGCTTGTTTTTACAGAGGTCGCTGGTGCTAGGCTAGTGCATGTCAATGGCCATAGTTATCCTGCCACAAAAAAACAATCTTAAAACACCCAAAGCAAATCTATTATTACACCAGACTGTCGATGTAAATGTCTGTGTTGACAGAATAATGTTTAAAATAAAACTAACCTTGCATCACATGAATCGTCACATGTAGAGGAACTATTTTCTCTTATATCAGTCCGCCGCTGCCAAGCTTTCAATCAGGAAGTACAACTCGCTGCTGTTGGTCACACATAAATCCTTCAAACGCAAGATTGGTTTTACTTCTAAAATTATTTTATCAACACAGACATTTACATCGACAATCTGGCGTAATAATAGATTTGCTTTGGATGTTTTGTGGAGTGGGTAGTACTGTTTTTAGAGGCAGGATAACTGTGGCCATTGACATGCACTAGCCTAACACCAGCGACCTCTGCAAATACAAGGATTGAATGGAATATTTTAAAAAAGTGTCTCCACATGTCTCCAACACTCTGGCTCACTAGGAAATGAGGCCCTATGTCCAATATTCCAAACTGTCCCTTTAAAATGTATTCCCTTTAAAATGTAAAATGTATATGTAAAACGTATTGACCCAATCTACATGATCCTGGAGTTTTTATTTTGCTTTTTCCATAAATAAATTCCTGTTGACTCCAAATTTGCGCCTGTAATCACGAGCATCATGAGCTTCATTTGACTGGAGCTGAACACTCTGGGGGGACGTCACACTCGCTTAACCCACTGTTTTATACAGTCTGTGATTTAAATCCATTGTTACAAGCCATAAATTCTAATAGAGCTGTCCAAATCAAGTAGAAATATGTAACTTCATGCTATCTGTGCACAATTTAATTATAACAAGATTCTATTCATACTGTATGTACATCAAAATGGATTACTGCCCCTGTGATTTATGGTAAGTTGCATAACAGTGAGAAATTGACCATTAACTATGGCACAGACACAACACAGCAAGTCGGAAGTTTGTTAAAGATAAAGCCAGTAGCAAGGTCAGCCATTTTAAACTCATAGAGCGACGTTAAGTCAATATTGAGCAATGATTTAAAAGAATCTATGGAAAAGGGAGTAGCAGTAGAAGTAGTAATAGTAGTATTGTATGTAGATGCTGAAAGTTGTATTAAAATGTCTTGCATTGGAAACCAGCTGATCTTCTCACATTATTATGACATTAAACTTTCTGAAGAGAGGTGGGAATATATATATATAAAAAAATAGTATCAGAATAGCTGTTTTAAAGACATACAAAACTAAAATCAAATATATTGTTGGCATTTAAATGATTAAAAAGTACCTCTTGTGCAGTCTCTTAAACAAGGGTATGGCATGATATTTCTGCACTGTTGTGGTTAATTCGATGGCCTATTCACATTTTATTAAACTTAAACCTCAAACAAGAAGACGCATTTCTATTTCTGAAACTGCTTGGCTCCACCTTGCGATGTCATAAAGTGATAGTTTCAATTCAACAGCTGCCTTTTACCTTTAGTTCAGCAGGTTTTGTGTGTTAAAGATGTGTGAATGAAACAAAACCCAACTCCAGGCATGTTTTTGGTGATGAAACAACATTGTAACATAGATAATGTGTAATATGGGCCCTTTAAACTCATCTGACCATTTGTGTGTGGCAATATTATCCGCCTCCATGACACTATTGGGCTGTTTTCCCATTAGCAGCAGGTCTTTGGCACTGTCACCTGGAAAAAACAAGTCACATAGGTCAATGTTATGTAAGATAGAAAAAAGAATAAAAATCACCGTCCTCATTGCCATGTCCCAACTTCAGTGTCCATGTGCCAAAACTGTGCCAAAAACCATTTCAGAGTGGTCAAATATGGTCATTTACCCATGTCCAGGATGATGCAACCAACTTCAACCTCAACTCTTTCATAATGTGTTTGAAATCCAGGACCAGCAGCAAGCATCAACATTTGTAATGCTTTTTTGTCATATAGATCAATCACAATTTTTATGATTTGACTTTATTCAGCTTATTAAGACAGACTTTGAATTTAATACAAAAGAAGTCCAATTCCATGGAGATATTATTACTTTGTCTTTAATGATCCCCAGTACATTATGAAATGTTTTATCTTGCATTTTCCAAGACAGTTTTTTTTTGTTTTGTTTTGTTGTTTTTTTTCATGAAAAATATGCACTCTCAGAAGCTTAGCAAGGCCCAGCCTGGTTAGTACATATAGGACACCAAAACCGTGGGAGTTGTAAAAAACACCATTGTGTCCTTAAGCAAGACACTTCACCCACATTGTCCAGTAAGAAAGTGGTGTGTCTGTGTGTGTGATGGTGGTGGTCAGAGGGGTTGCGCAGATTGATGGCCTCACTTCCATCAGTCTGCAGTAGTAGTTTACCACCATCAAGTGTGGAGTGAATGAATAATGTAAAGTGCTTTGGGGGACATGAAAGGCACTATATAAATTCAATGATTAATTCTTACTGTGAGTGGGATCACAGATCCACAGATCTGACCAGTAACTTGGGTTGTCACCAGCTTGTCTTCATGGAAATAGATCTATTCAGTCATAGTCTGGGACATTTCAGGCAACGCAGTAATGAGGCAAGTTGGTGGTATATTCGCTCTGTCAGTAAGTATAAGTTATGTAGTGCAGGTTGCATGCTTCATCAGTGATCTCACACAAGCGCATGTTCCCAGCCTGTCACGTCGCCAAATGAATAGAGCCGCTGTGTAGAGCCACTGTGACTGTTTAACTTTAACATGTTCAACAAATGCACAGGCATAACAGACCAGTATAAAAGTGCCCTTGTAAACATCGGTGACAGAAACGGGAAAGTTTTCAGGAAAATCGCTGGAGATCTCAAACACAAAAGCACCTTTTATTTCACATATCAGCATGAAGTTCAGTCTGAAGTAGTCAAAGTGTCATGGAAAAACAAACATTGATGTAACCCAATACTGTAGGCTGGAGTAGTGATTATAATGTTGCAATGCCACATGTAATTCTTGTGGTTATTGCATTACTTTAAAGTAAACATATTATGCTTCTTTTTTTTAATACTACCATTGGGGTGCACTATGTAACTTCTCTAGTGGTACACCCGACATAGCGCATCTTTAATTGGCCTATATTAAGATATGTTATAATGTTGTTTCCTCATCACAGTTTTGATTTATTTCATTCACACGTTTACCACACAAATCCAACATTACAGTATTACAGGGCGAAAAGTTCACCATTCAATTTTGTGTAATATAGGACCTTTAAGAATAAAAGTTTTTACAGTATGTATATAGCAAAATTTTTGACATAATGTACTCTTTTTAAAGTCAGATAATACTGTTTTTAAATATAATACTAAATAAAAACTACTGTAAATATTGACCCCATTCACTTCTTTGTATGATCTATTTTACATGTGGATCGTAGCATCTACGCACAATGCAGTGGTGGGGTTACGTTCATGAGTGACCTACAGTTTAAAGACTTATCAGTGCATCATCTGAAAGAGTGTCTGTCTGTGGCAGTGAAAACCAACCTTTGATTTGAGTCCACTCTTATCTTTATGGGTTCTGGGTTACACAACACACATCCCCCAATGGTCCAGAAATTTCTTTTGCACATCTAACAAATAAAAACACATACACTTTTAATATTTTGCGGATATTTCAAATAGCATTGCATATGCATTATTATGGCAAAAATGTATGAACAGACACTCATGCATCATCCATTTGGCTCTCTCTGTATTTTCTACACAGAAGGATATCAGTCTGGTCAACACACACCCTATTACCTCCTGAGCCTGGTCAAACATGATCGTGCAATCAGATTTGATTTTCCAATGACGCATGTGAAATGAAGGAGTTCAATATTCACCTATCACTTTCTAATGTGTGACTTTATTTGTCCCTGAGGAAAAATTTAAGCTCACTGGACAGTAAAATACAATAATAAGAGAAAGCTCAAAAAAATCTCAGAGCAGCTCAACAGATAGGGTCATCAGGTCAGGTATAAGGGCAGTGTGGGGAAAGTAATAGCCCTTTGGACAAAAGTGTCTCTCTTCTTTGTCCTCTCTATACTCTGTGTGACGCTGTCCGGGCATCACAGCAGTGTCCGGGGGGGAGTCAGGGGAACTCTGGACACACAACAGTAAAGCACCTTCTCCGAACTGTACAAGCCGCATTTCTTAGTTGATCAAAATTCCCAAATATTAATGTAATGTTAAATCTAAATTTAAAAAGTGTAAAAACTACTCAGTGCTCCAGCCAGTCAGCCACAAAATCAATCAACCACGACCATGGCAACCACCATGTACAAAAATGCACAGTGGGCACTCCGGTCAACCTAAAACATGCACAGCAGGTGAAATCCGCCAGCTAAGGTAGACACGACGAAGCCTATCTCACGATGTGGAGATGCTCCAGCGACACTGAAAGATGGGTCAAAAGCAGAGGACATTCCTAAGGCGCGATAAAATATTCCTTATTACTGTTAAAGAAAACTGCTATAAAAGCTTTACAAAGACCTCTGGTACTAGTTCGATCTTGCAATGTTGATTTAATGTGCCCATGTGCCTAAACTTGATGGGGTAAATGTGTTTTCTAATGACACAAAACTGTTACTAAATGTGTTTCTTTGGTGATATTATATCTTAGTTCTGTATATCTCGATGCACTAAACAGATGGAACCAAGCAAAAATATTCAGTCCTTGACCCATTTCTGACCATTCAAAGTCTTCATCACATAAATATGTGTGTTCTGTAAAACAGTTCAGTGGGCGGTGGGGTCATCTCTGTGTGCACACATGTAGTTAATGTTATAAAATCCTAATTTGTGTGCACTTTGTATCTGTGTTAAACTGGTATTTATATAAGGCTTGCTAACACTACACTGATAATATTTGTCACTGCAGTAAAATGTCCCAGCTCCATGTGTGACCTGATGCTTTGCTGTGTCTGTGCCAAGGGACTTTATGTAATGATTACTGGATTGGGACTGCATGTACCTTCTAGACTGTTTAACTGTCCCATATATCCTGTTGTTAAGGTTTACAGTGAAGTGCAAAAGGCATGAATCTATAAGAGTACAAGGACAGTCTCACAGTGTTCCTCCAATCCAAAGACTCCAAAGACTCAAACCAGATAGGGCTACATGATTTGGTCGGTGATTTGGTATTGTGTTAGCAATAAAATTTGCAATATATGTTTCAAAAAATAGTATTCTGTTCTGAGTACACATTGAAAATAACACCTTGACCAGGAGCAAGCGCCAACATTTGAGAGAAGACTAAAATTGATAAACGAATACAAGAAGCCCACACATTTCACAACGTTTGTACTGATGTAAACGATTTTCTATCAAAAGAGAGGATATTCTGTTCTTTGCAGAGAACATCTATTAAATAATTACTGCATTTTCATTTCAAATTGCGCCAACTACACTTGTGATTTCCGTTCAATTTTGTTATATTGTGCAGGCCAGCTCTAAACATACATTTTGAAATATTTTGTTGTCTCCAATGTTACGTCTCAAACCAGTGAAGATCTTGTCAAACACAATGTATGATGATAGGTGTGAGTGGCTGAATTTTAAAGTTGCAAACAGCTACAAGCATTTTCAGCTGCAGTTTCCTCTGAGCACTCCAGTTTCCACATCAACCAAAAACACACATACTCCAGCTGAGGTAGTTCTGACCAAACCCAGCTAAAGATCTGAAGATGGGTCCCCAAGCTCCTCACAGGAAGAATCCGTGTATCATTCGTTCATTCGTTTTTCAAAATAAAACCAAAAATTATTTATTATTTTTCTCCAAAACCAAAAAAAAAAGATAATGATGTGTTTTTTCAGTTTTCGATTTTGTGTTTAAATAAATAATGGAAAAAACGGATAACGGCCGTTTCCCATTGAAGTGACTGAAACTGCAATGCCAGATTTTTACAGACTGAACCAGGACTAAAACATGACTGAGTGTCAGGACGAGTCCGGAGGTGCGCCTACATAGACCAGCACCAGACCGGAATCTGACCGGGACTGAGACCGAGACCAGACCAGGACCAGAACAGGACCAGAACAGGACCAGGACTGAGACCAGGACTGAGACCAGGACTGAGAGCGAGACCAGGACTGAGACAAGGACTGAGACCAGGACTGAGACCGAGACCAGACCAGGACCACATTGGGACTGAAACCAGGACTGAGATCAGGACCAGACCGGGACTGAGACCAGGGCAAGACCAGGACTGAGACTGGGACTGTGACTGGGACCAGACCTGAACTGAGACCAGGACTGAGACCAGGACTGAGACCAGGACAAGACCAGGACTGAGACACTGGACTGAGACCAGACCAGACCGGGACTGAGACACTGGACTGAAACCAGACCAGACCGGGCCCAGACCGGGACTGAGACCAGGACCAGACCACGACTGAGACCGGGACTGAGACTGGTGTAGTCCTGGTTTAGTCCTGGATTAGACATGGTTTAGTTCTGGTTCAGTTCTAGTTTAGACATGGTTTAGACCTGGTTCAATCCTAGTTCAGTCTGTATGTGGTGCAAAAGTCCAGCATCGCAGTTTAAATCACGTAAACGGGAAAAGGACGTTATCCGTTATCCAAAAACAAATGAACAAATGATAGACGGATTAGGAAGCCCCAGCAGCACTGAAAGATGGGTCTAATGCAGAGGACAAATTTACCCAGACAGTCAAGTGTACCTT